GAAATAATAGCTGATCCGGGTTAAATAACTTTGAAAATAATTACTTGTTATTCAGGCATCATTTTCACATATAGGAATGTAAATATTTTTATGGTAGCCGACGAACCCCCTAGTTCACATGTTCAGCCGAGATAAAAAAATATATTTAGTATCGTTCAAGATCTTATGAAAAACGCCTGCTACTACTTACACCTGTTAATTAAATTTCTTATCGGATTAAAACAAAAATGTTATATTATTTTAATTTTCGTAACGAAATGATACGAATGTTGCCATCTTCCGCATAGTTCAGTTTCCACTTAACCAAGATATAATCAAAATATTAAATTCGACGATAGATGTCGAACTCATTTCATTGTAGAAAAATGCTCCAATGTTCAAATAAAACGTTTAAATAGATAGAAAGTTAAATAAAACATTTTCTTAAAATTTTGATTTATCCACATACATTTGATTTATTTATATTAAAATAAATTATAAAGTACTGCTTATACAGAATCTATGCGGTGTGAGAATTCAATGGAGTTGTAATGGGAGACTTGACGAGATGTCGCGGCAAAAGGATTTTTTATTTCTAACTAATAAAACTAATACAAAAGTAATACTTTCAAAAAATATATTCGCATATACAGGGTCAACATGAAACCTATACGGAGTGATAGTATTGTCCCCACAGTACTGAAAAAAAAAATAGAGAAAAAAATCTCCCGTTGTTTGAAATTGACGAGCTTTTAAGTGCAACCTAGAGCTTTAACCATTTTTCAAATTATTGTGGTAATATTATAACCATGTTTCGGTTATTGTGGCTATTTTTATTACATTTGTTCATTTAGACTTCGGAACCGTAACCATGAATAATATTTTTACAATCACAGTCAAAAATATTTACATCCCAAGCTTTCAAGATTGAATACTTTTTGTTAAAACATGAATTAATGTTTAAATGTTGATTTTGAGATATCATATCAAGAAGTGTACCAAAGTATATTGGCAAGTTCCATAAAAAATTGGCGCAATCAATCAGACTTATAAAATGGTAAAGTGCTTGATTGTTTATTAATTAAAAAACTCGAATAAAAAATTAAAACCAAAAAATAATATGATTTTTGATAGTACATTGTACTTACAATTTGAGAAAATGAAGCGTCCGAAATTTGAATAATTCAAGAAACACTTCATTGACGGAATGAAGCAATGATTAAATTTCTGGTTTGAAAATTTTCAAGAAATACCAAAATGTTAAAATAGAATCAATATTTTAAAAAAATCTGATTTTTTGTGATATTCAAAAAATGTATAGCTTTTAAAAAATTCAAATTACGGCACAATACCATGCACTACTAGTTAACTTCCCGTAGTGTAAATTATAATAATCGCAAAAAATCAAAAATAAAAGTTTTTATATATCTTTACTTTTCAGATGTTTTTGGATATTTTGACATACTTTAGAAAAAATGGATGTATGTGTGCGGATACAATTTTCCGACGACGATTTCGGGAACACGGAATTTCGGAATCAACCGATTTGAATAATTGAAAATACATTCGATTCGTATTGATAAGGGAACATGCGGATTAGTTTTTGGCAAAGGCAGGTCTAGCCGTTTCGAAAATACAGAGCAAAAAAAGTCGAAAATTGTAATTCAGTTTTTGAGAGAACGGAGCGTCCGATTTCAATAATTCAAAAAACATTTTATTTTTATTGAGAAAATGAAGTACCGTTACAATTTTTGCAAAGGCAAGTCTAGCAGCTTCAGAGATCGAGTAACAAAAGTAAAAAAAAATCATTTGGCGGTCAAAAATGATCATTAGACATATGCACATTGAATTATCAAATATTTTATAGAGATTTTAATATTAAGTATACATTTTGTTTACATTTCTATGGGTTCCGTACCAATGTTAACCCGTTAGGCTGCGATGCGGCGCTTTGATATTTTCAGAAAAATTTAAAGTATAAAAAATATTCGAAATATAAAAAAATAGCTCAAATAAATCAATTTTTTCAAAATTTCAAAATTTCAAAAATCTCATTTTTCACAAAGTTTTCAAAAAAAAAATTTTTTTTAATTTTAATTTTTGGTACGGGAAGTTCCAGCAATTTGCCTTAAAACACGATGCCATGCACCACTAGTTATAATCTCTATTTTAAAAAGTCTCTATTATATCCCCTGGCCGTTGGTCTAAAACGGTGTGTGGGAGTCTATATCTGCAAGGGTCAAAAGAAGCGAATCCGTTCTACGCGACCTCTACATAACTGCATTCCTGAGTTGATTAGAGCAATAAGTAACAAACGGTGTGACCTCACAACACAATATCTATCTCAGCGATTACATAATCGAATATCAATCGAATGAATTGACACTGCAACGCATTTTTGCAACGCACAACAGCGGGAATAATATTGTCCGCAATGAATCAAATAAATGTTGTTGTTCACTCCTTGGGAAAAACTTGAGGCCTCGGCCTTGCAACCGTAAGGTTCTGAGTTCAAATATCTTATATCAAGGACCAGTTTTAATCACATATCATAGATCAAAAATATGTTTCTAGTTATTGCAGGTATTACTGCAAAAAAATAAAATACAATAACTAATAGAAGAGGCCAAAATTCGGTTGCCTTTTTATATCCGAACTAAATTAGGAGAAACATTGGGTACTTTTTTCAGTAAAAATAATCGTAGCATCAGCTCATGGAATACCTGAATTCTGTTTGCTGTCATTCAGATTATGATTGTTTGTCCAAGAACATATATATATATATAAAGTTATTCACTCCTTATGCTTAAATTTTGTAAAATATTTATAACTTAGTAGTGCATGGTATAGTGCCTTAAGACACGTGGAAATTAAACCTGCTTCTGCCAAAAACTAATCACCCCGTCAATTCGAATCTTATGCTTTTTGAATTCTTCAAATCGGTTAATCCGTGTTCACTGAATCGTCGATTAAAATTTGTATCCGAACACACACTGTAATTTTTATTATTATCATCGATTTTTCTAGGTTAATGAGTAGAATTCATATCAATATTTAATTAGATCATAATATTTACGGATGGAATACAGCTATCCTATATTTAGTAATTATGTCACTGTAATTAAATTCTTCGAAATATATTCTGATCAATGTTTATCAAGGATAGTTTAGATTGCATAGATAGAAATAGAAATGATGAAAATTATTTTTCTACCATTTTGTAGGATAATTATTTTAATAAAATAAAAATTCTTAATTATTTATTTAATATATTTTATGTTTCAAGGCTCAAGACAATTGTAGTTATATTAATTACCGTGCATAAGAAATATCACATTTTTGTAAGACCATATCGAACAATTTTGATGATTCCAAAGTTAAAAAAAATATTTGGTACGTGTTGACAAAGCTAAAAGGTAGATGTTTTGTATAACTTTATTGGCTTTTTGGGTATATGGAAAGAGTACACACAATGTCCATAAAAACTTATTATTTTTAATTTTCCGTAGGGTAAGTTATAGTAATCGCAAAAGATCGAAAAAAAAAATTTTTATATACTTTGAAGTTTCAAAGGTTTTTTTTAATATTTTGGCATACCTTAAAAAATGAATGAATACAATTCTTCATCGACAATTTCAAAAACACGGATCAACCGATTTGAATGATTGATTACAATAGCATTAAAAATATGTACAATATTTAAAAACAATGTAATTAAAGTCATACTTCAAATATGACACGATCGGTTTGTCATTGTAATTAGCATTTAGAAATGAACCTTCGTTAGAGAAATGAAGTAATTGCTGATTAATAGCTTTTATAATATTCGTTCACGCAGTGGATGATGTTAAACAACGCCTAAACAACTATTGTTTTCGCAACTTGACTGATCCATGTAATAATTGTGTTTGAAGAACTTCATGTAATTAAAATTGACATACATTCATCGACTGCTTGTATTTTTTTACCCTTTCGCGACATAATTCATTCATTCTTTGAACAGCTGTATAATCTGTCTTGCCTAAATAATATTTTCCATTTTAATAACTTCAAAGATTTATAGAAACTACGAATAATATAGAAATAATTTTTTATCAATAAACAAATGTTTAATTTGTTTTATTATTTTCAAGAAACAGGGTAAAATATTCTTCTGATTCAGGCACTTTTCATTAAATCAAGATTTGTACTACATGTAACTTTAAAATTTAAAATTTATTTATCTATGCCGACTTCCTTGTTGATATCGATACGCATACAACGTTGACGCCAGTACGCATACATCGTTAGATCTCTATTCACATAACGACGACTAATCACAATCGATCCGTATAGAAATGATATCATCGAGAGCGAATGACGAATCATCGGCACTCGACTCTGCCGTAACGCACTTCCGTTGCATTTGTACGGATTTACACCCTAGTCGCGCCTAAAGAAGTTTTACTTAAAAAAACTGTTACTACAAGACCATGGCCCTCCTACTCAATCCTATTAAAATATGTGTTAACAAAATTTATAAAAACAGACAACAAAATTTCTTTTACTAGGAACAAGTTAAATGTTCGTAAAGGATTGTTATCTATGCGAATCAGTCGCGCGAATGTAGTGTATCGTCCGCTGGTGCTTCCTCGTTTTCAGTGTCCGCTAATTCGAAAATAGCGGCATAACATAGGCGCTATTTTGGGCGACCACCTAAAGACCATCGGCTATGATCTCAAATTGTATTTTGTCCCATCACATCATTGCCCAGTTACAAAGTCTCGCCCGTTTGGAAAACAGCGTCAGCGCACAAAAACAGAAAAATCGCGCTATTGACATTAGTATTGATTGATCGAAATTTCATATTTTCGATTCGAATCGTGCGCTGATCGCTTCAAGTTGATTAAGTATTGAATAATAAATAAAAAGCTCAAAGCGAGATTTATGTATTGTTGAGTGTTTTTATTAGTTTCAATTAAATTTTGTCAAATTTTTATTTACGTGTATTATTGTTTGTTTTTTTTATTAAAAAAACCGAAACGATACGAAATCCGTGCGTCGAAATATAAGTTGTTTAAATATACTTTTGGTGCTTTACTGTTGCCGATAGAGTGCTCTTTATTTGTGACTTTTCACGGACTGAAGTTCAAAATGTTTAAGAAAAGGTTTCCTTCACTTTCAAGTCTGGGGGTAAGTCGTAATCTTATTTATGAAATTGAACTAACCTCAACACAGGAACAATAGGATGTCAAATATGAAACACCATTTTGAGAATAAATTTAATATTTATTACAAATAGAAATACGAATCTTCAATTACTTTAAATAAAAATTATCAAGTACAATATAAAAGTGAATAAATCCTTTATAAATTAACGCTAAATATTAATGTAGGGGAGCTAGGGGCCGGTTGTAACAGTTTTTTTTTTAAATTAATATATCTTGAGCATCACTGATTATATTTTGACAAAATACAATTGGATAGTTGTTGTAACTATTACTCTAGCAAATCAAGTAAAAATATTGCTACAACCGTTGTTCATTATTTCACAATCATTTTCTAGAAAAAGTGCGGTGTTACAACTTACCCCGTAACACTGATTATATTTCAACGAAATAAAGATGGATAGTTGCTGTAACTATTACTCTACCGAATCAAGTAAAAATATTTCCACAACTGTCGTTCATTATTTTACAATAAATCATTTGTTAGAAAATATGAGGTGTTACAACTTACCCCGTATTTGGGAATATTTAAACGGATAAAAAACGACAATAAAACCCTGATAATTTATTCTTTACTTATTTTCAAGAAAATTGGCATGTTTCTAAGCAATTCTTTTCATACATCAACGCAAACTAAAATAAATATAAATATAATATTGTCGCTTATAATATAAATTCTTAATGATAAATCAAAGTAACTAAGTAACTACAGTTACTAAGTAACAAAGTTACTAAGTAACTACAATTAATATAAATAAAGATATAGAAACCGATTCTGCCGCATAACAGAAAAATGTTATGGCAGAGCCATGTTAAGCTCCAACTTCCATACATTATACTACTGAATTATACTAAATACTGTCAAAATGTCATGTATTTGCAGTGCATTCAGGCGTTTTACACATAAACTGCAACGTCACTCGTATGTTATGAAGCTAGATCAGAAAGACCCTGTTATCTAAGTTCATTTTTTGACATTTGTGCGGTTTGTAGGTAAGGTTTTCTATCTGACAACTTGAGAAATACGCCTGACTGCACCAACCACATGATTTTTGTCAATATTCAGTATGTAAAGTTTTTCATAACATGGCCTTGCCATAACATTTTTCTGTTATGCGACGGAATCGGTCCCATAGTGTCTCATGTAACTCAATTTACACGTGCACAAATCTTGCAAACTATACATCCCACCCAATCTTCACTTAAATCTGTATTTAATTCATGTAATGTTACAACTAGACCCAAGGTTATGTTTCAACTAACCCGAGGTGTGATCTTTTTTACATTAATAAAGATGACTCAAACAATTTAGCAATCACTAAAATTATATGAAATACGTTATAAAACATTGATAAATCTAAAACAAAAAAAATATAACATTTAAAATTAGTCGATAATTATGAAGCTAACCGAAATTCTATATAGCCTGGCAAAAATGACGCATCTGCACAATTCTGTTCACTGCGTCAGCCTGCATGACAGTAGCTATGACAATATCATGCAGGACGGTTTACATGTCCAATCGAGACAAAAAAAATATTTTAATTTCGTTTACGATCCTATTGAAAAACTAGTAGTCTGTTACTACTTACCCCTGTTACATTAACCCCCTAGCTCTCCCACTGTGAATTAAATTTTAGTTTGAATCTAGCGAGTCTTGTACTTTATGTATATCGAGCAATGAAATGAATTTTCTCCATTTACAGTTTACATAATTTCACTATTTCAATTATAGAGAGAGCTTTTGGATCGTTTTAATGTATTTGTATGCGTTTGGTTTTATACAGAAATGGGGCAAATTTAATTCCTTGATGCTATCAATTTCAATTGAACTCTACGTGCGACAAAGAGTCTCCTACGTGGGTGAATGTAGGGCATTTAAGATAGATTATTGTTAATATTTATGTAGTTTTTTTCAATTTTAGTAACAATTTTTCGGCTTAAAAGTGGTAGGTTCAAGAAACAATAAAGATGTCTATTTCCTTAGGAACTCTACGTTATTTGAAGCATTTTTGTTTAAATAAACACTTGTAAAAAATCAATTCGTACAAAATTTTAAATTCACGAAAAATTATAATTGAACTAACTATTTCGAGAGTTAGATGTTTACTCTTGATATGTATGTATATATTGTGACAAGAAGGGTTGATTGAAGTCCCCTTCTTGGGGTATGCAATGGCTGCCAAATATTATATTCTAGCCTTGCAACCCCATTACGAAGGGTTACCTCAACACTCCAATCGCCCTCTTAAGTACCTGTAATTACCTGTGGGGGTTAGTAGCTACTATACGAATGAAACCAAGATTACTTTCATAACTAACTCTATTTAAATAATTAATAATTCATTGCGTATGTATTTGTGGAACTTGACTGTACTTGCATACAGTCAATGTTCCCTAACTAATACTTCTTAGGGGTAGTGGTAGGGGTGTACCCTGGGGTTGACGACCATCAGGCGACAATAATTATCAATACGACGATAATTATGATTATCGTCACACGCCCCCCTGTCACACCAGAGCCGCCCTCGGCTCTAAAAATTGTTGCTACTTTCCAACGATGTTTGAGGTCCCCGTAGCGGTATCCATAATTGTTGGCCGCACGTCCAGAGCCTGGTTTACTTAATATGAAATCGAACGTAGACTGTAGTTGTGTGCCTTCAGTAATTGTGCTTTCGGTCAGATTTATGTCGTTTTGGGTTCTTAACTAGCTATTCTCCCATTTATTAATAAATAAGATTGTTAGACAACAAACAAAAAAAATCGATTAAAAACATAATAAGTAATCTATAAAACAAAATATATATCGACAACCATAATCTTTAAAACAAATATCAAACTAAATATATATGTGGGTCAATTTGACTGTCAACTAAACTTAATTAATTTTGTTTTCCAATAGCTCGTGTTTGAGAAAGAAAAAACTGTACTTATATGAACTTCAAACCGCGACGTTATTAAAATTTAACACGAAAGAAAAACTAGCATTTATGCATAATGTTACAATACAAAAAAAAAGGAATTAACGTTGAAAAATTAAGATGTTAACAAAAAGAGAACGTTTTCTTGTACAGTTTTTTTTTTTCGGAGCACGCTATCTTGAAAACAAACCTAACCTATGTGTGTGTGCTGTTACCTATTTTCTTGGTTGTAGTATTAGTTATTATGAAAAAAACGTAACCCGAAATTAAAATTAGTTCGCCAGAATCGATGAGCCCGATGATATGGACAATATAAAGTAACGCGTGAAAAAACATAAACAAGTAACTAATGTGACGATAAACAATAAGAAAAAAAATAATTTACATTTGCTTTAAACTAAACTCGATTACTTAAATCACTAGATGACTAACGAGCGCGACATTTACAGTAATTCAGCCTCTACTGGTGTGATTGCCCCCCAAACACAAGACCACAGATGGGGGCTAAGATCTAGTTATCCTTCTTGCTCCCCCCGCAGCGCCCCAACCATAATAACACTAGACCGACCGCTTAAGCCCACCCAAAAACAATGGCACTTACAATCACCTGTATAAGCGGGACACACCCAGAGTTCCCCAGCTCGGCACAAGGGCCCTCAAAGGTTGCCCCCTTCGCGGGGAAATGGCGACGTGCGACCTATGGCGCCATTCCAGTTTCACTGAAGGTACCTTCTTAAAATATTCCCAAAATAACTCAATATAATACTCATAATAATTCGACGGCTGCGGGTTTGATTAAGGGCGGTTTCCCCGATTGAAACCGTACGCGTCCATCGATTTGGACATCTCAATGGTCCGTTCTCGTGGACAACTGGGCCCAGCTTTAAACATTAAAATTCTCATATACGCATAAAACAAAAACGTACATCCGATATGGCGTCCCGATATAAGCCTGCAGACTTATATTTATATAATTTACGTTGCAACAACCTACTCTCCACAAACAAAAATCCCACTATAACTTCCTTGCACCATGACGACTAAATATCCTAACATATTCTAAAACTTAATTCTACAACCTATCTAAGGGAGGGGGAGGGGAATCTTAAGACTAAACCTTATATTATTATTATTTTAAAAATAGTAAATGATTTTTTCCTCAATCATATACTTCTACGCCGAAAAAATCTTTTACTCTACAAAAATGAATCATGTCGTATCAATCTAATTTCTTATGAAACGAGCCCGGACGTTTCATGCCCAAGCGTTACTGCTTGTCCCGGCCGCTCGGACTAACGCTACGTCAACCAACGGCCGAGCTGCCTACGGTATATTACTATACAAAATAAAGAGAAAAAGTAATATTGAAAATAAATAATTAAGAAAAAGGTGGTAAAGGCTACGACACGATTCTTCAATTTATATATTTGTTCATACAAATATACCTATTCTTTCGCCCTATCTCTAATACCCATACATGCTTGCTTCCTTTATTAATTTCTTTCTTTAATTTTGTTTGCCATATCGGACCCCTTAATCAGGATTGGGCGGTCAAAAACACGAGCCAATAACTATTGACGAGACAGAATTAAAGTATTTTCAATAAAAATAAAATCGTATTTTGTCCATATAAAAGGGCGTCACGAAAATTAAACAACACGCCGACGGTATAAACGCGGTAATACACTACAAACGTTCGTTTGGTTTGATTTACGGTGACATTATCAATAAACAAAAAAAAACACGACGAAAATAATAGTTTATATCTAATCATTCTCATACTTAACATAAATCTATTATACTTGATACATATACAATCGGGTGCCATAACATAATTAACTTTTTTTTAAATTTGCCCTCTATACTCTTATTACCTTCAACGCCTTGTAACATAGGCCATAAACTCTATCCGTAAACCAAACCAAACCTTTCGCGACCTACGGCTAAAAGAAAAAACGACACAACGATATATACAAATATAAAAACAAAACATTATTCGAATGTATTAAAATGGCGAACAAAACGGATAATGCAATAATGATAA